GCTTTTATGAGTTTTGTGGGTTCCAATTTTGTTTCCCAAATATCTCCAAACCCAAGCCAACAATCAAATTAAAAATGACATGATTTTCTTGATATCTACAAAGGGATACATCAATCAATTTTTGTTAATGATCGATATATCAAAAAACAAAAGAAAATAATATAAAATATTACCGAGATAAAGTCTTTAACCCGATATATTAGCTTATATAGCAATATATTGGCCGATATTGAATAGAAAGCCTATAAGAGCAAATATATAAAGGTTATTTAGGTATTAGTTCCTTAATTTAAATATCCAATGATTATATGTTATTCCCTTAAATTTTTAAAATTGCTCATAATTTTAGGGACTATATTAAATTTATTAAAATTTTGAGGGACAAATTATAAATAAGCTATATTTAAAATAAGAGTTAATTTTTTAAAGATCCTCCCAACTATGATGATTGTCTTAAAAAACACACTCAACTGATTCAATTTGACAAAAAAACCCTTATTTGAGGGTGGTATTATAGATAACCCCTCTCATTTTTAGTGCAAATTTAGAAAAAATCTCTCAACTATATCGTGTCTCATGAAAACTCCCCTAATTTTTTACACTTCTATTAACAAACCCGCTTAACATAGTTACTTCAATATGTGATTTAGACAAAATATCCTCTTGAAGAAAGTAATTTTAATTAAAAAGAAACCCTCAACCGATAATAAAAAGATCACAACCAATTTACAATTCTTTTTCCCTCTATAATACCTCTTTTTGTTTTATCTGGCAATAACAAAGGTAATTCTTTTATGATTGATTGATATTTTGGTCTTTCCAAGTCAAGTACTTGTTACATAATTGATAAGACTCAATGATATTAGTTTTGAGAAGTTAGGTTTAAGTGAGAAAAGTTCACAATGGTTAAGTCAAAATTTTATAAGTTGAGATAGATTATCTACAAACCACCAAAAATTTGGTAGATATCTACTCGGTTTTAAAACAGGGGGGGAAAGGAAGGATTAACATGCCCCCCATAGTTGAGGGGGAGTTTTATAAAATTAACCCTTAAACAAAAAGTATAACTTAAGGCACATATGACATTAATTTTATAAGAGTGAAGTTTATAGCAAGTCTATCACTCAATGAATTGGTTTGAGTTATTTGTCCTTAAATCTATCCTACACATCAACTCTAAAAATCTTTTGCTATAAGAATCTCTAAGAGAAATTTAATATTTATTTGGGATAGGTATATGATCCTTCTGATTCCTCTTACCTTTTGTGATTTGTCATAAATTATTTGACAAAATAAATTAAGTTATCATTTTATATTGCTCACATTCTTATAAGTTTACGAAGCTCATAGCTTAGATATGAGTATTATTGCAGATATTGTATTCTTCTAACTCCTTAAGCTAAATTTTTGGATGTTGTTTGACATTGGATGGATATTAATTATTTTATTAAAATACAATCAATATGAGTGCATAATATGCGCAAATCATTCTCAGACCATATTTTATAATTTTCTGAAACTAAAGAGTAATCATTTTGACAGATCAATTAGTAGTTGGGAATATATAATAAGAGTACAAAATCAATTTTTGGAATTGATCAGACAATTTATATTTTCTTTCTTTATTGAATTTACACATTCTAACTTAGAAAGTTCTAGAAATTTTTTTTTGAATATCCATAATACTTGGTCCCCGAATAAACAATAGGTGGAAGTAATTTTTTTATAACTGACAAAATCCTTAATGACTAGATAAAACCTATCATTTTTATTTGATGAATTCAAAATATTATTTTTTTCATTAATAATAATAGTTTTTTTGGTATTGACTCCTTACATCATTAATATTTTAAAATTATACATTCAAATTATTAATTAATCTTATATCATTAATATTTTAAGGGATTAAACACTATTATTTCTCTAGAAGACAAAATGTTAAGATCAAACATGGAAATATCCAAAAACATATAATATATTATGATAATTATAAAGTTTTTTTGCAACCATGTTATAATAAATAGATAAACTTAAAGTACGTAATTATAATTTTTAATCACGTACAGTGCACGTGCATTCCACCTGGTAATAATAGGAACCCAAGTTTCCAAATCTTGACCGACCGTTGTAACTTGGAGCCGGAGGCATCAACCTGTCGTTTATTGCCCACCTATGGTGGGCCAACCCCATGTGGTGCAATTAGCGCGTGAAAAGGTTGCCGACCCCCCCTCAACGGTCGACGACAATAACCACAAACCTCTATCATTAGTCATTCCCTTTCACTGTTTGCTTTTGTTTTAGCTTCTGTTTGCAACAATTAAACAAAGCTTAGGCGGCTAATGTACCTAATTAATTATAGTTTTATTTCTTAAAGTCACATTAATCTACAAATAACATATATAGGACTGACAAAAGCGCCTGAGAATTTTGAACTTCGGAGCGTGCTTGATGTGAATCCTTTGCTGTATCAAAAATATAGTGGTGGTTGTTCTTTAATAAAGTTGTTGACTCGTTGGTAGACAAGCAAGTCCTTAAAACTGGGAAGCGACACTTTTATTGGGAGGGGTAGCCATCAGCTAGCCCTGAGCATGATTAGTTCCATCTCTAATGTTAGGGTGAGAAACCCGTGGTTAAAGACCAAAAAAAATCTATTGTTTATTGGATAGCTATACAGTTAATTTCAAGGCTAACAGTTGAACATGTCTTTCATTTCATATTATGTGCTTCTTATCATATTTCAATGAGCATGAACCATAATTATCCATTAAATAATAGATAGTTATGATTAAAATTGCAAGCTCTATAATATTACTTAAAACAAAAGCCTTGCTCCCAACAAATCAAAGATGAGATTCGATTTGAGTAACGTCAGCACCTACGTTTCTATAACACTTATTTTCTTTTTTTTTAAGTTAAATACTATTCCTTTTGTTACACCTTAAATTTTATAATTTTTTAAGTAAGTACGTACGGTACGGGGTCATCTTACGGCAACTTCTGTGCAGCTTCATGCGCTTGGAAAGTCTACCGTCGATTGGAGTCAGCTGCAACTTGCGCTCATTTTTCAGTAAAGTACTAAAGTTAAAGTGTAATTTCAAATGTTTCAGATATAATGCTAACTAGTAACTATACTACAAATTATATCACACTACAAGAATTAAACGTATCCGAATTAAATAGAGACGCATGGCAATTTCAGTAAACTGGTGTTTCTCATCGTATGAACTTACGAAAATTCAGTGCAAATATCACTATTCAATCTGCGAGCGTCAAGCTGTGGTGTTATCAATAAAATTAACAATTAGTTATGTTATTTTAAGCCCCCCATAAAGGGTGATTTTTCTTTTCCCCCCAAGTCAAAAGTGAGAAAGAGAAACAAAACTAGTTTAATCCCCCTTGTCCTTTTTCACCCTTTAGCTAATTACGTGATTTGACAGAGATACGCAAAGAGAGCGACGGAACTCGCTAATTTTGAATATTTAAAAGGGGCAAATTGTGAAAGACAGCGAGAGGAGTTTACGGCTTGCTTGCCACGTTAGACGTAGATTTCCCCCTTTATTATTAATTAATTTTATTAAGTATGCTTAATTTCTTTTAATAAAGGTTCGTATCCGGAGGGCCGTGACTTCCGCAGACTGTTTAAAGCTTTCGTCTGCTAGCTAACACGTCATTTTCCGTTACTTTTAGCGGCTTCAGCCTCTGCACTAGCACGTCACCGTTGCCATCTTTATTGCGTGTACTCTTGCAGGTCTAAAATGTCCATAATGCCCTTAAAGTTTTGCTTACAAAATCTCTGCCCTCGTGAGCTCGGAAGGTGTTTTTCGGCACCGTCGGTTTTGAAAAGAACTGGTCAAATTGAATTAATTAATAATGATTAAAATTAAAGTAAACTAAAACGAGTTAGTTTTATTTTATTCGATTTTGATATAAGAAAAACATAAGAAATCAATTGGAAAAAAAAAAGATATTATGACATATTGATTTACTATAGAATAAATAACTTATATTATAATTTATTTCTAGAAAGAATAAGAATAATGTAGTGAATCCTAAACTTCTTGAAAACGAGAATTCTTGTTGGTTTGATTCGATCTACTCCATCAAATATAGCTGGGTAAGTTTTGAAAAATAAGCTATTTAGTATCTAAGAAAAACATAAGTCAAGTCAACAATAGTGATCAAGTCGGCGGATTTGAAGCAGTAACTAGTGTGACAGACAAATCTGATGAAATTCGATAAAATTTAATCTTTGTTTATTTTGGTAAATTGTAGAAAACCAGGTTTAACTTTGAATGATTATAAGAAAACTTTCCTTACTTTCAAAATAGTAGAACCCTCTTAAATATAATCATAAAACCCCTATTTAACATTCAAATCTTATCAGAAAAGAACAATTTTTCACTTCAACCCCATTTTAATTTTTTTATTAAAATCGACCCCTTTTTTTATTTACCAAAACCGACCCGATTTCTTGATTAGCTTCTTAATCACCTTCCTAAACAGTTAGGGTTGCCAACCCCGACTATTTAGGATATTAATTTTTAGGGTTTAAGACTTCTAAGTAGGGTTTAACACCCTCCTAAATAGTCGGGGTTGGCAACCCCGACTGTTTAGGAAGGTGATTAAGCTGCTAATCAATAAATCGGGTCGGTTTTGATAAATAAAAAAAATGATCGATTTCAATAAAAAAAATGGGCTGAAGTGAAAAATTATTCTATCAGAAAATCCTCTTTAACTCTGAGAATTTTTTAGAAAACCCCCTAAATCTCAAAGTTAAAGGGGATTTCCCTAATAACCCCTAAAGTTATTTTTTTTTAAATATTTTAAAAGTTAATAAATGTTTTTTTTATTATTTACGATATTCTGACTTACTCAGCCCTAAAACCTTCTTCGGAAATGGAGGGGCATTTTAGTAGCTTAGACACCCAAGATTATTTCCACGAACCTTCAAGATGAGAAACCCACGTCACCATCATATAACGCCGTTAAAAATCAAACCGTAACGTTTGGTCGGGTCCAAGCGTATATACTGCCGTCTCCTCGGACGTCGACTTCTCCTCCTCCGAGCCCTCCTCAACCCTCTTATTTGTTCCGCAAGACTTTTCCATTTTCTCCTTTTTTAGGGTTCAATTAGTTGCAAAAATTACGAAAAGTTAGCAGTAAAGCTCGGGCCTTTGGAATCGATCAGAGGTTTTAACAGTTAGAAGGAGAGGAAATCGATTCCACTGTCGATCGGTCGATCTTCTCTATAACTGTTTTAGCCCTCTTTGTCTTTCACCGATTTTTTTATTTATTTTTAATTTCTTTAAATTCTCTGGTGGAACCCTAATTCCTTTAAGGGTTCGTTTCAGAATCTTGGGATTAGGGTTTCTTTCATCCCAAGTTCTGATTTTCTCTTTAAATGCTTGATGGGTCTCTAGATTTTCGAGAATATTAGGTTTTTTTTTCTGTAGTATTCCCTCTCTTTTGATTTCTTACTGGAAGCAAAAGGGTAAAATTCCTTCAAGGGTTCGTTTCAGAATATTGGGATAAAGGTTTCTGTCCTCCCAAGTTCTGAACTTGATGGATTTATAGATTTTAGATCTTTTTAGTTTTTTTCTGTAATTTTTTTTTTCTTTAGATTTCTCGTTAGAAGAAGAAATAGTGTAGAAAAAGATCAAGATGTCTTCAGCTGGAGTTGCTGCTTTGTGTTTAAGCCCAATCCTGGAGAACCCAAATCTTTCTCCGATACGATTCGATGGCAGCAGATCTCCTCACTGCTTGCCCGATTCGATCCTCATCTTTCTCTCAGTCCCGGGTTCATCCGTGATCCCAATGCAGGTCCATGAGTACGATTCGATCGCCTCGGTCAAGCTCCGTATTCAGAGCTGCAAGGGTTTTGTCGTCAACAAGCAAAAACTCGTCTTTGATGGCAGAGAGTTAGCGAGGAACAACTGCAAGGTTCGAGATTACGGAGTCTCAGATGGAAATGTGCTTCATCTCGTCATCCGGCTCTCTGATCTTCGGGTGATCACTGTGAAGACTGCTTGTGGGAAGAAATTCAAGTTTCAGGTTGAGTGCAATCGAAATGTTGGGTACATTAAGCATCAGATTGCAAAGAAGGGGAAGGATTTCTTGGATCTCGAAGAGCAAAGATTGATTTGTGATGGTGAGGAGCTTGATGATCAGAGGATCATCAATGATGTGTTTAAGAAAGACAAGGATGCTGTCATTCATTTGCTCGTGAGGAAATCGGCAAAGATTAGGACCAAACAAGTTGAGAAGGATTTCGAGCTGTCAATTGTAGCTGAAGAAGAACCTAAGGTTGTTGATAGGAAATTTGAAGAGTCGAATATAGTTAACAAGAAAGTTGTCGATACAAATGTGTGGATAGAACCTGTGATTGTTAACCCCAAGGTTGAGATTTCTCCAGGGATTGAAGATTTGTTGAAGTCTACATTTGCTGGATTAGAGAAGGGGAACTTGCCTGTTATATCCTCTGAAGGATCAGGGGGAGCTTACTTTATGCAGGATGAATCCGGGCTTAAGTACATTGCTGTGTTCAAACCAATAGATGAGGAGCCAATGGCTGAGAACAATCCCCGTGGGCTTCCATTGTCTTTGGATGGTGAAGGGCTGAAGAGGGGAACAAGAGTAGGTGAAGGTGCATTAAGAGAGGTTGCTGCGTATGTTCTTGATCATCCAATTGATGGGCGCAGGTTGTTCCTTTCTGATGAAATAGGCTTCTCTGGTGTTCCACCGACTGTGATGGCTAAGTGTTTGAAGAGTTGTTTCGGTTCTTATGACGGTTATGGGGAAAAGGGTTACAAGATTGGATCTATGCAGATGTTTGTGAAGAATCATGGGAGTTGCGAGGATATAGGTCCTCGGGCATTTCCTGTGGAGGAGGTACATAAGATATCGGTTTTGGATATAAGATTGGCGAATGCAGATCGTCATGCTGGAAATATTTTAGTTCACAAAGAAGGGGAAGAAGGACGTATTATGCTGATACCTATTGATCATGGATATTGCTTGCCTGAGAATGTGAGTTTTCCTCCACTTCATTCTTATCACATTATCATAAATGCTTTCTGTGATATATGCAGTTTGATATATGCTTTATTTCATATATATAATTAGTTGGGGGTGTTTTCGTTTCTTAGATAGTCCTGTCATTTGAAAAATTGTTATCAATTTAGGAAGTTGGCGTATTTTTATCCTTACCAAGTTATAATAAAAACCAGGTTCTTACACTGTTTACGTTTCTGCATGTATTCCTCAATGTGGATTATCTTTTAGGCTGTTCCATATCAAATTGCACAGAAACCTAGTATGTTATAAGTATGTTATGTTGGAAACAGGAATCGAGACATGTCAGTAGAATCCTACCAGTAGGATGTTGTTTAAATATGCATTAGCGCACAAGGAAGGTTGAAGTAAACGATCGAATTTAGGAATATAAGGGACAATATAGATATTTGACTGTCTAAACAACCATCTAGTTAATTCTGCAACATGGACAAGTAAACATCTTCTTTCTTGCAGTAAAGTATCTGAAGATATCATAATGAATTTCACAGTTCTTCATAGAAGTATCGAATTATCAGAAATTTTAATGAAGCATGGCAGGATTCTTGCATATATACTTTTTCAGGTCATGTCATGCATTACATTTGAGCAGGTTTCAGAAAAGTCTTATATAGCATGTTTCCAACATATGAAAAACACAAGCTTTTGTAGGTTTATGTGTCACTTCGCCTTTTTCCCTTTGCATAAACTTCTTTGGTGACCCTTGAATTCATTTAATAAGGACTAATTATTTTTGCTTCCATTATACCTTCACAATTCTGGCACCAATATGCATAAGCTTAGAAATCATTTGCAATCCTATTTTCAAGCATTTGAACCCTAAAGACAACAGCAAACTAAACCTTCAACGGTGCAGTAAAAATGATTGTGAAAACATGAATCTTTGTGTTCAATCTCTCAGTTCTGATTCCTATACTCGATGCAGTTTGAGGATTGCACCTTCGAATGGCTCTACTGGCCTCAAGCCCGTCAACCTTTCAACTCAGAAACTCTGAGGTACATAAAATCTCTTGATGCAGAAGAAGACATCAATCTCCTCAAATTCTACGGATGGGAGCTGTCCCTAGAATGCTCGCGCACTTTGCGCATCTCAACAATGCTCCTGAAGAAGGGAGCAAAGAGAGGTCTCACTCCCTTTGACATTGGAAGCATACTGTGCAGAAAAACTCTGAAGAAGGAATCAATTATTGAGGAGATTGTCCGTGAGGCTAAGGATTCTGTGATTCCAGGCACCAGCGAGACTGCGTTTTTGGAGTCGGTCTCTGAGATCATGGATCGTCGTCTTGACGAGCTGAAGCTATAGAGGAGGGGGTGGTAATGGTTCGTTGTCAGTATTATGGTATAATATAATATAAATATATAAATAAAATAGCCTGGTTCATCCGCGATTCCTGTATTTGTGTTGTTTGATAGATGGATTTGGAGGTGTTTGTAGTTGTAAGTATTTGTGGACAGTTTCCTATCTGTTTGTTAAATAAATAGATGGTTATTTTTTGTAGTTCTTCACGGCATGAGCATTTCCACTATTTGGGCTCTGAACAAAATAGCTCCATCCATGATCAGAAACTTTTGAAATTATGTAGATAACGAAGTGATTAGTTTTTCTTACATACAATTGATAACTATCTCTTTCAGTCATAAGGGCTTCTTGCTTCATTAATTATAATTGGTTCCAGTCCCTACTTGTACCTAAACTTTTCAATTTGTCCCTTCATACCTTGGAATTGTATTTAGTCTCATTTAACCTTCTAAACTACCAAGTTCGTTTTTTTGTTACCTCTGAAATATGTAGAATCTCATCTTACCCTTGAGCTACTAAATTTGTACCTTTGTTATCCTTTGAACTTCCGCTTTGGTACCAAATTACCGCCTTCCTTATATTAATTTTTGGTATTTTAATGGATAAAATGATAGTTCAAGGTGGGGCTCAAACTAGTTCAGAGGGTAATAAGGGACGAATTTAGTAATTTAGGGGGTAATGCGAGACTAAAAATAGTTTAGAGGGTATGAAGGAACAAAATGAATAGTTTAAAGGGGCAAGTAGAGGATGAAACCATTCTAATTTTATCATTTCTTTAATTTGATGGTGAAACTTTTTCAATGACGATGTTGAGATTATCCCAATGACGGATGGTTTTTTCACCTTCCGCTTCTCTTGTGAGGACGACATGATGAAGGTGTGGACTGGAGGCCTATGGACAGTTGATGGCATGGTCCTGTCGCTGGAACAATGGAAATCGCGTTTCCGTCCATCTCGAGAGGCGGTGCTAAAAGTAGTCGTGGTGAGTTCATCTCCCAAAACTTCCTCTAGAACTCATGACACGAGAGTGGGTTCTAAGCATTGCCGTGAGAGCGGGGACTCCTATTGACGTTGATGTTAGCACCAAGAACCTTCGTCGAGGCACTTTTGAGCGAGTATGCATCGAGATCGATCTCTCTCAACCATTGATTTCTAGAGTCCCAATCCAGGTTGAAGGCGAACCAGAGTTCTGGCAAGAGTTCATCTACGAGAGGATTGGAATTTACTGCTTCCAATGTGGACGTATCGGGCATCGGCAAGCCCAGTGCACCCACACGCCGGCTAGCTAATCCGGGGTGGCACACATTGACGAAGCCTTGAACCCTCCACAACCTTTGCAGCCTCCCAACATACCAAATGCGGTTCCGTCGTCATCCAACTCCAACCCTTCCCACTCAAGTACCTCGGCACCTCATCATGCCCACCTTCCCCATCGGAGGGCATCTATGGCCCTTGGTTGGCCGTCCCGAATTTCAACCAGAGAAGGAAAGCCGCTATCAATAATGCTGGGCGGAGCACGGGTAACTCCGGCCATCGTTCGTCGGATATTCATCGTCTCCGTCAAGGACCTAATCGTAACTCCACCAAAGTTTTAGATGTCAACAAATTCAATGCTCTCGTTGACGTCAATGGCACATAATCTCCTCTAAATCTGGATGACCAGAATGGAAATCCACCAGTTGGCGGGGCACCAATTGAGGAACCGCTCCCAACGACTTCCAAATTAGTTATTTCTTCCAAATCCACTCAAATCAACAGGGGTAAAGCTATCTTGTATGGATCCAAAAGATTCGATAGCGACAATCTTGAAACGACATCACATCTGATTCCGCAGGCCAAATCTATAGGAGCTGAGAGCATCTCAACTGGGCCCACCCCTCAAGCTCCCAACCAGAGCTGGGATCTTGTATCCCAGCGACAGGCACCAGGATTTCACTCTCCCACAACCCCCGCCTCTATCATTCCCACACCCCAGGAGAAGCCATGCATCTCGACAAGGTATCTTGCGGCTCACCAAATTTCCATGGCTTGTTTGGCTCTAAGCCAACAAGCACATCCATTAGCCACGATACAACGTCGCAAAGAGTCGATCTCAACTGCACACCTCTACGGGTGGTCCCCTTATTTTTTACTTCGGATCTTTGGCTGAACACTCACCCCCAATGACTTGATGTTGATTCTCTGCTGGAATTGCAGAGGCGCTGCCAAGGTGGCGGTAGAGGAATGATGTAAGTCTCTCATTAGCATTCACAAACTCCATTTGCTTATTCTCTTGGAACCCCAAATTGGGTTCAAGTCCGCTAAAAGAATTTGCAGGAGAATCTCCCTGTCATGGAGTCATTTCATCCTACCTGTGATTGGTAGGTCTAGCGGTATTATTATCTGCTAGGATATGTCTCAAATCAGTTTCAACGTCTCCCATTCTGATCGGTAATTTATCACGGGAACTGTCACGTTGAATGGCCATCCAACTTGGGCCCTTACGGATGTGTATGCAAGCACCTGTCAGAACGTGAGGCGCACCCTTTGGAGGGAGCTCATCGGACTGCTAGCCTCTGCTACTCCTTCTATACTTATTGGCAACTTCAACGAAATAACTGGCCCTGAAGATAGGACTGTAACCTATAACAACGATGCTGGCGCTGCTGAGTTCCGTGACTTTATAACCAATAATGATCTCATCGACTTGGGGTTCTCTGGTTCATCCTTCACATGGTGCAACATGAGACAGGGTAATGCCAGGCTTTGGGAGAGACTTGACAGAGCCTTGGCATCGGACCACTGGCGGTTGGCTTACCCGAATGTGATTGTGCGTCACCTCTCGCGTATCTCCTCCGACCACACCCCCCTCCACCTCAATCTCAACTATAGTATGAAAACCGGCCCCAAACCTTTTCGCTTTAAAAACGTTTGGTATGAATACTCTAGAACTATTGATATCATTGAAGCTAAGTGGAGCAAGGCTTCCACTGGCGACCCTCTGTATAAGGTATTCTCTAAGCTTTCAGGCATTAAACAATCTCTCAAGCTTTGGAATAGACACGAGCTTGGTAATATATTCCACAAAGCAAGAACCATTGAGGATGAAATAGGTGTTCTCCAACGGCGGGAGGAAAGAGGTTCCATCTCGTCCACAGAGACTGCTCACCTTCGGTCTCTGACTAATGAACTCAACCCCATACTCCATAATCATCAACTTCTTTGGAGACAAAAATCGCGCCTTCTTTGGGTTACAGAATGTGACTGCAATACTAAGTTTTTCCACAAGACAACTATCGCCTGTCACACCAGAAACAACATTACTTTCATCCGAGATGATGCAAGCTATTTGCTAGTGGAACCCAAGTTAGTGTCTACCTCTATCACCAAGAAGTTCCAACAGCGCTTCCGGCCATTGGAAGCTACTGACAGTGCTCTTGACCTCTCAATGATTCAAAACCTTCTATCTCAAGATGACATTCTGTCCCTCTCTAGCATGTGCTCTGAGGAGGAAGTAATAGCAGTTGTTCGTACCATGCACGGGGACAAATCCCCAGACCCTGATGGTTTCCTTGCATCTTTCTACAAGAAGTACTGGAACACTATAAAACACTCATTCATGGAGGCCATGTCATTCTTTCTCTCTCTATCCTCTCTCCCTCGCCAGTGGAAATTCACCTTCATAGTGCTCATCCCTAAAACTCAGAAGCCGAGCACCGTGGAACACTTTCGGCCAATCAACCTTTGTAATGTGTCCTACAAAATCCTTACTAAAGTTCTTGTGAACAGAATTAAGCCTCTGCTTCAGAAACTCATCTCGCTAGAGCAAGGAGCCTTTGTTCCAGGGAGGAGCATTTCGGACAACGTTCTCCTTACTCAAGAGATTCTACATTCTATGAAGTATCGTCGAATTGCCTCTTATCATGTTGCTGTCAAGGTTGATATGGAGAAAGCATACGACATGCTTGATTGGAACTTCTTGGAAGCTATCATCCTCAAATTTGGCTTTCCTATAAAATTTGTTGGCTGAATAATGGCTTGTATTAGAAGTCCTAGCTTCAACATTCTCATTAATGGCTCCCCCACAGAGTGGTTCGAATCTCACAAAGGTCTCCGCCAAGGTGACCCCCTAGCTCCGTATTTATTTATCTTCAAAGTTGAGGCTCTTATTCAGCTTGTCAATGTTGCTGCCACCTCCTCTCTTATCACTCAGCTTAGAGTTGCTCGGGGTGCCGACAGGATATCTCAATTAAACTTTGCAGACGATTGCATATTGTTCTTCAAAGCTAGCATGACGGAGGCTCATATTATCAAAGACATCCTGCATCTGTTTTGCAATCATAGTCGCCAGAAAATTAACAACCAAAAATCTAGAGTATACTTTGCCTCCAATGTCCATCATAGGCATAGGAGGGTAATTTGTCGAATACTACACATGCAAGAGGGAGAGTTTCCGTGGAAGTATCTTGGTATTACTATGGATGGGAAAAAACCAATCCTATCCCGCATTAGAAGCAAGCTCTCAGGGTGGAAAGCAAAATCACTCAGCTTTGCTGGTAAAGTAACTTTGGCCCAATCTGTGCTTCAAACTATGCCTTCATACCTGCTATCCAAGGGGTGGATACCCCGGACAGTCATCAATAGCATTGAAAAGGAGTTCCGCTACTTCTTGTGAAATGACGGCGATCCCGACAGGTATCCATCTCTTATTAAATGGGACTCCGTTTTCCAAAGCAACAAACTTGGCGGGCTCGGCATCCGCAAAATGGACTTACTGCATCTTTTATTCATGGCCAAACTCCTCATTCGAATGTTACACTCTGATTCTAGCCTTTAGGCACGTCTTGTTAGGGTTAAATATCGTGTCAACATCAACTCCAACTCCATCTCGAGTCGCGCTGGTACTTCTTGGGCCTAGCGAACAATTACAAAGGCCAACACAGTGAATCAAGAGGGCACTCACTGGTCAGTAGGGGATGGAAATTCAATTTCTCTCAAGGACCGATGGATCCCCACTCCTCCGGTTTTTCGGGACAACAACATTATATCCGATCAACTTGAATCCATCATGGTCTCTTCTCTTATGACGCCTGCAAAAACATAGGACACCCATTAGCTCCGCGCCATTTTTGATGAAGCCACCGTAGCCCAGATATCTCGCATCCCTCTCCCGTTGAGCAACGTCCAAGACCAGCGCCAATGGTTGGGAAAACCTATTAGTGACATC